ACTGTGGTGTTGGAGAGGACTCTTGAGAGTCCCTTCGACTGCAAGGAGATCAAACTTGTAAATTCTAAAAAAATCAATCCTGAATATTCATTGGAAAGACTGATGCTGAAACTGAAGCTCCAATACTCTGGCCACCTGATGCGAAGAGCCAAGTCCTTAAAAAGAGACCCTGATGCTGAGAAAGATTGAAGCAGGAGGAGATGGGGATTACAGAGGATGAGATGGTTGGATGGTATCCATCCAAAAATGGATATGAGTTTGAGCAAGCTCTGGGAGATCGTGGAGGTCAGGGAAGGCTGTCCTGCTGCAGTCCATGGGATCACAAAGAGTCAGATGCTACTAAGCAACTGAACAACAACAACAGATAACATATTTGAGGATAGATAGCCAGTTAAGGCTCTGGAAGATACGAAAAATGCAATTTGATATGGAGTAGAAAAATTCAGAAGAGACTGAAGGCAAGAAGGGAATGCTTGCCAAGTCCAGGCAGGATTAATGCAAATCTGCACAGAGTATTGTGAACACAAAGCTAAGAGATCCATGATGATGAGATAAATGAACAAATTCCCATGACTCACTAGATGGGGAAATCACTCAAGGGGTCAATCAAATGTAATGTACACCTTTTAAGCTGAGTGATGATACCTAATGGGAAAGTATGATGACTTATCTTCTATGAGAGATGTTGAGATGCTGGGGAGCTGTCCTCAGCTAGAGATGCTCAAAGGCCGTTGACACAGAAATGTACTGAAGCATTTAAAAGAGTCAGAGAAGACTGATGTGGGAAATGTTGAAGATCCTGTAAATGCAGGGAAGAGAGTTTCTTATGAGAGTGGTTGGCAGCTGACATACTATCAAGAAGATAAAGTCGTGGTTCCCAAACCGTGTGCCATGGCACCATGAGATACCATGTTGAACTCACAAGGGAACTGTGGGATGTTTTGCATTTTCAAAAGAAACAGAGCAGCATCTATTGGAATCTGTTCCAAGCGCTTCTATTAAGTTATTTGAACCTGATCTTTTGATAAATAAATGGAACTGTTCCTTTGTTTCCTTTGGCTTAGGGGTGCCATGAAAAAATTATTGAGATCTTAAGGGTACTGTGAACTAAAATAACTTGTGGATCTCTAGAATAATAAAAAGTTCACTACTGAGACTTGGCCAATGAGTTCAGTAGCAAGAGAGTTTTTGTAATCTTAACGCAAAATCAGGTAAATGCCAATGGTTGGAGTGGAAACAAGATGGTGGTGTTGAAGGGCGTGGGGTGGGACATTACAGTTGTGGAAGCAGCTGCCGGTCTTCCATTTTAGGCACAGAAAGAGAAGGAAAGTCAAAGATGGAACAAAAGTTGAGTGCTCTGGAGGATAAGAAAATAGAGATGTGTTTTTAAGCAAAAGGAAAGAATGTGTCCAATCTGAAGGAAGTTTGAGAGAAGAAAGTGAAGTGGTGGTCCTCCTGCAGGAGGGGGAGGATGGGAAGCAATGCGTGGGGAGCCCCTTTTTCAGGGAAGGCGGGGTAAGGAAACCAGGCCACAAACCTGTGATGTGGTGCATGTGGAATCGCATGTCTGTCTCCAGCTTTCATGACCACCCAAGGAAGAAAGCATTATCCCTGTCTCAGAGGTGAGGAAGCTGAGTTTGGGGTAATGAAGACAATGAAGATAAAGTTTCACAGCTCTTTTGAGACAGAGAAGAGGGAATTTGAAAGGGTGCCTTAGAGCCTGGGTGGCTTAAACAACAAGCATTTATTTTTCACAGTTCTGAAGGCTGAGAAATCCAACATTAAGATTCCAGCAGATTTAGTGTTTGGAGAGAGCCCAGTTCCTGGTTCATAGAGAGCTTTATCCTGTGTCCTTATGTGGTAGAAGGGGTATGGGAGCTCTTAGGGTGCTTTATAATTATGGGCACTAATCCCACTCATGAAGGCTCCTAATCACCTAAAGTTCCCATCTCTTACACTGAGGGTCTGGATTTCAATATATTTATTGGTATTTGGGAGGGACACAACATTCAGTCCATAACGGTTTCTACACTGTTTCCATTGTCTTCAATAACGTGCACATGAATCTCCTGGGAATGTTATTAAAATGCAGATCTTTATTTAATCCAAAGTCATAGGGGCTGAGAACTTACATTTTTTTGTTGCATTCTCTGGCAGTGCCAATGCTGATGAATCCTGTCCCACACTTCAAGTAGCAGGATCTAGAAAGCCAATGCATAGCTCAGAGTTTCTAGAATAATGCCAGGTATTAAGTAGGCATTTGACAAGTATTTGCTGAATTGTGGCTGCTTGAATAGTTTAGATGAATGTGTGTGTTCTGGGAGCATAGGAGGTGGGAACCAGCCCTGAGAAGAATAAGCAGCAAGTGCAGATGGTCCACGGGAGGAGCGAGGAGGAAGGCCAGGGTGTGCAGCGCACGGGAAGCTTCTGTGGAGCCGTGAGGGAGGTTGGTGCTGGCGGCTGTGGGGGCGCTGAACACCAGGGACGTCAGCCTCAGAACTGAGTGAGCTGGAAGGCTGAGCGAGCTCAGGCTCAGTGGCTTCACTGCCTGGATGTTGATGCTGCTGAGAAAGAGGGTGGCAGGGAGCTGTAAATGTGAGCAGGAGCTGGCAAACTCCAGAAATGATCCTGGACGAGGCCGAACGTTGGAGATGAGAACATGGAAACAGATGCGTGGATATCACTGAATTCAGAAGCACTGCTGAGAGGCTTAGATGGCCATGCAATGAGGGACCACCAAGACCCTCTATATCTGGCAAAGAATCCAAAATCAACTGGGGAGACTTTGAAAACCCTGATTCCCCGGCCCTGTCCCTAAGCATGTAGAGGCCACAGGCCTCGAAACAGGCCCTGGAATCTGTGGTTTCAAGAAGTTGCTCACAAGAGATTCTGATACTGCCACCGAGGCTGGGGATCCCTGGATTACCCTCTGTAATACCTTGGGCTGAACTGGGGAGGAGGAAGGTCCCCTGTGGAGGGGAAAGCCCTGTAACCTCTCAGTTACAATAGAGGTGCTGTGAGAATCCTCAGGGAAATGGCAAGAGTCTTTGCACAGTGGAATTTTGCATCTTACTCGTTTGATAAATAGCATTAGCAGGATGTAATATTTCTTGATTTCTTTAATTGTGACAGTCGTGATCAGGTACTGTCTTTTGAATGATCAAATAGGTTTTCTGCTGCCCGAAGCTCCAGTTAATATTTGTTCAGATTTAATCTGCCTCACAGATGAGTGCACTGAATTTCATGTTAATGTCAAGTTAATGTGGGTTCTTTATGGCAATTCTGTAAGAGAATTTCTCCCTCAGCTTCTTTTATTCTCTCAGATAAGAAGAGGTTATTAAAAACAATTTCTAAAATTGTAACGAAAAGGTAGCTTGGGAGACTGGTAAAGACCACAAGCTGGGGAGCCTAATTTATCTGAGTTTGTACCAAGTTCTGGTCTTCCCAGGAGGTTGTACTGGTGGCAAAGAACCTACCTACTAGGTAGGTTATCATGAGACACAGGTTTGGTCCCTGGGTCTGGAATATCCCCTGGAGGAAGGCATAGCAACCCATTCCACTATTCTTGCCTGGAGAATCCCACGGACAGAGGAGCCTGGTGGGCTACAGCCCACAAGGTCTCAAAGAGTTGGACACAACTGAAGTGCCTTAGCATGCATGTACACACACATACCCAGTTCTGCCAAGTGCTTCTCTGTGGCCCTGAGCCCCAAATTTGAGTCTCATGTGTCAATATGACCTCATAGACCAACTCCTAAGACTGAATAAGTTAAATATTATAAGTTAGTACATTTAAAACTTGTCACACTGTGCCTGGCATGTGTAAATTATCAATGAAAGTTTGGTAGTGTTATGATTATATTGCCTTGGTGCTGCTGTAGCTACCACATATATGTAAGTGGCTGCTATATATGAGAATCTCCATCTCTGGGGATCAGAGTGACCGCTCAATAGGAAGTCCACACCACCTATTTGGTGCACCAGTAAGAAGGCTTAAGTCCAGTTGATACTGCTGCCTAAGCAATGGCAGAAGGTTCTGTAGGTTCTTCATGTAGAATAAAGAAAGAGAAGTGCTTGGAAGGTGCAATTATGCTCCCATAATTGAGCATTTATTGAGCACCTACTGAAAGCTAGAAATTGTGGAGGGCTAGGGATTTGAAAACATAGTCACTGCCCTCTTGAAGGCAAATAAAGGTCTGATAAGCAAATAAATGCAAGACAAAATACTTGCTATCATAGCAATGTATTCAAAATTCAAAATGGTAGCACGGAAGAGAATTTCCAATGCTCTTTTGGAAGTTACCCACTTAGGATACAAACATCAGTTTCCAAGATGGGTAACTCATGTTGAAGCAATTAAACAATGCATTGGAAACCAAGAATTATAAATCACAGTTGATTATAACTTACATTTGTATCACTCTCATTTTTATTTTAAACTTCATAGTACCTCCAAGAGAGAAAGACATTGATTATCTCATTTATAACCAAGAAAATGTAGGTTCAGGAAATGTAGGCTCTGTGACCAAAATCATAGTTTTAGTAAGTCACAGAGTGGGAATTGGTACCTGGGTCCACACTGTTAGCTATCATTGCACTTGGCAAAAGCAAGCCCAATAATCTAAGAAATCCTGTTTAATTAGAAAGAGATAGTAAAAATTACATATTAAAACCTAGATAATGTATGGTCTAAAATTATGTCCTTATTACCTATGTATTGTAAAATGTCTGACGATTTTACTCTTGCTGGAGAAGGAAATGGCAAACCACTTGTGTTCTCGCCTGGAGAATCCCATGAACAGAAGAGCTTGGTGAGCTACTGTCCATAGGGTCTCGAAGAGTCAGAAGCAACCGAAGAGACTTAGCACACGTAGCACACACACATCAATCACAGATTTTTCTAACCTCAGCTACTGTTTGATGTGGGGTTGGGGAGGGAAAGGGTGCTTTGCTTGTGATCCTGTAAAATAGCCACCTGACTTTATTTTTTTTTTCCCCAGCTTATTCAAAAATTGACCGATGTTGCTGAAGAATGTCAGAATAATCAGTTAAAGAAGCTCAAAGAAATCTGTGAGAAGTAAGCCTCCATTCTCTTACAATGGATTTGTACATGTAAATATATTAAGTACAAATTGCTATTGGATTGACCAATTTTCCCTTTTGCTTCCATTTTGCCTTCAGAGAGAAGAAGGAATTAAAGAAGAAAATGGATAAAAAGAGGCAGGAGAAGATAACAGAAGCTAAATCCAAAGACAAAAGCCAGATGGAGGAGTAAGTAGAAAGAACCCTTTTCTCCCACTTTTTATCCCGGGATTGTCCTATGCAGAATAACAGCAGCTCAACCGTACAAAGACCTATCTGCGAAATTTCTCCTCAAATTAACCTTTCCAAAGATCCACTTTGTAAGGGTTTTCAGTGAAGCACTGAGGTGCCCACAGGCCCTAAGGAAAAGGCTCTATCTTCTCTTCTGATATTGTCAGACAGCCTTCCTGCCAGTTAATGAAAACAGAGCTTGTGCCTTGGGTAGAACCTGACCTTTGTCAGAGCTGACAAGTTGTATCTTCCTTGCAGCAGTAAGAAGAAAGTTGAGAGTTCTGTAAACTTTCATCTGGAAACCTGCGGTTGCCATGTTTGTCGATGATGGATGAGTTTGTGTGATGATTTCTTTGTCATTCACTTTCAGGGAAAAGACAGAGATGATCCGGTCATACATCCAGGAGGTGGTGCAGTACATCAAGAGGGTATGTCATGTTCATGAATACCTGTCTCTTTTGCAAACCGTGTTTGATGAGTACTGTGTGAGTCTCTGGAGGGAAATGCCATGCTTCCCGGTAATTCTTTATCAGCTGTGCAACTTCCCAGAGCAGCCAGTCTGTAATCAGTGTTTCTGCAAGTCTAATGCAAACCTCTGTATAAAAAGGTTCATCTAAAGATAAATGTTAAGAATCTTTTCTAGAATCAGGAATCTAAAAACATGATGTCAAGGGGACCTCCCTGAAAAGAACCTTTGGTTCCTGCTGTTGTTAAGTTGCCAAGTTGTGTCCAACTCTTCTGCAACCCCATGAGCTGTAGCCCACCAGGCTCCTCTGTCCATGGGATTTCCCACGCAAAGATACTGGAATGGGTTGCCATTTCCCTCTCCAGAGCATCTTCCCATATCAGGGATCAGACCTGCATTTCCTGCATTGGCAGGCAGGTTCTTTACCACTGAACCAGCAGGGAGGCCCCAAAGAAACTTTAGTTGTCACCAATGGTAGACGACAACTTCTAAAGGTTTTTAATTAATTTTAATTGGTATTATGTACATTTTCAGACATTAACAAAACTGTGAGAATGGTATAATCCAGTGATCATATCACTCCCCTGTGTACACATTACCCAGCTTCAATACTTACATGTCTCCTATACTTAGAAGGACAGTTCTTGACCAGGATGTGAAATAATTAAATGCATGCCATAAATCTGAAAAGTTTTTTTTTTCCTGAAAACATTCACTTGAATGTTTAGATGAAAATGACTTTCTCTGTAACTGTCTTACAGTTAGAAGAGGCACAGAGTAAACGGCAAGAAAAACTCGTCGAGAAACACAAAGAAATCCGCCAGCAGATCCTGGATGAAAAGCCCAAGGTAAACTGAACCAAATCATCATACACAGTAACTTCATTTTCTTTCCATTTATTTAGAATGAAACCTCCCTAGTTCATATCCCTCTCACACAGTCTTAGACCAGTTCTTGTACGTGAAAGTCATGTAACTTTCTCAATGATAGAAAAAGATCTTGACAGCAATATTCAGTAAGCATTTATCATCACTGGTCAGCTTTAAAAACTGCAAATACATGAAACTCAGATCCTGAAGTTTGATTTTAGTTAGTCTGGGATGTAGCTCAGGCATAGATATTTTTAAAGCATACCTTCCCCCTCCACCCCCTCAACCCCTACCTCCCCTCCAGGAAAGAAATAGAGAAGTTAGCTAAGCCTCTTTAGCTCTAAACAGATGATGTAATATTGTAATGTCAGGCTCTGTCCAGCAGAGGATGTCTTGTACCAAAATCACCCTGGTATTTAACAAAATATTCTCATGAGCCAAAAAAAAAGGAAAAGAAAAAGAAAATCATTTTTTCCCCATAATAATAGTTTATTGGGGCTCCACTTTAAAATTACCATATGTTTATTTGGTGAAAATCAATTGTTTCATGAATATTAACTTTAAATGAACTGAATATATATAAATCAAATACTCTCAGGTTACCAAAAACTCAGTTTTAGATCATTCCATTAATTTTGATTTGTCACTGAATATTGTTCTGTTTGTGAAATGTATGCTTTTCAGTTTTCCTGTTCTTCCACCTACAATTTAAAATACCTTCTTTAACAGGCTCTGCTATTAAGTACCTGCAAAGATCAAGTGTTACTTTTGTTTTGTTGTATAGTCCCTTCATCAATCTACTTCTTAAAGGTTTCTTGTTGTTAATTTAAAATATTAATACATTTTTGTAGTTGTTTCTGCCCTTATCCTTTCATATGTGTTGGACAGAACTTTTAATGTTGCTAATTCCAAGTTTTTTGGCTTGGGAATATAGATTCTCTGTGAGGAAAATCCAAGAATTAATAATTACTGAGGCATGCCGTTAATTTTTATATTTTTATATAAATACACAATTTAATACATGTTTCAGGCAACAAGGGTTGAAAATGTGCGTATTTGAATATATCACTGGGGAATCATTACTGTTAAGGTGTTTCTGAAATTTCAGTCAAACCTGGACCTCTTGCTCCAAACATTTGAGCATTTAAAAAATAAAATCAATCCTAAATAAAGAGCATTGCAATGTCTAAAATTATGTCAAAATATATTCCACCTTACTAATGCATAATCAACTTGAGAGGGTGGCTAAGAATATTTAAATTATGTTTTTGTTCAGTTGCTAAGGTGTGTTAGGCTTCTTGCAACCCCATGAACTGCAAGTGTTTGGAACAAGAGATCAGAGTTCAACTGAAATTTCAGAAATGCCTTAACAATAAAGAGTCCCCAGTGATATATTCAAATACATACATTTTCAATCCATATTGTCTGAATTCCAATTTGCCATTGCTTTATACACTGGTATGATATACTTAGCTTAAGATTGATTTTTCACTAGCCAATTTTTATATTTCTAAAAAATCTGTCTTGGAAAACATTGTTATTCCCACACAGTTTTGCTTCATTTTCATTTTTGTCCAAAAATGTCAACTACTTTACTTGTAGTGTGTGTGTGTGTGTGTGTGTGTGTGTGTGTGTGTGTATGTGTGTGCTCAGTTATGTCCAACTCTTTGCACACCTCTGCCCATGGAATTTTCCAGGCAAGAATACTGGAGTGGGCTGCCATTTCATACTCCAGGGGATCTTTCTGATCAAATCCATGCCTCTTGTGCTTTCTGCATTGGCAGGCAAATTCTTCACCACTTTTACCACCTCAGAAGCCCCCTTTACTCATAAACAAAATGCAATCACAAATGTGTTTAAGTTACATAGATCTCAGTATAAATAACCCTACAAAGGTTTTATGTTACTGCTCTGGTTCACCATGATTAAAATCAACTTCAGTAGTAAATGTCTTCATTAATATAACCAAACATTAAACCAAATAACTGTTGGATAATATATCAGTCAGTGTGCATACAGCAGCAACTTTACAGAAAACCCAGTTAAAACTGGATTAAGCAATAATGTTTAGTAAATCACATTACTGGAAGTTCAAAGGTAGTGAAAGTTCAAGAATAGTTGATTTAGTGGTTGAATAACCTCATCAAGAATCAGAGTATTTTCAGAATTTTCACTGTGTTATCATATATTGTTGCCTTTCATCCCCAGACTGCAAACCCACAGTTACAAGATAGCTGCCATAGCTCCATGTATTACAACCTTACATAAAACTATTCAAAGCCAAATAGTCTTCATCTTGTAATTGATTATAGGTTTGAGGAAAACTTCCTAAATCTCAATAGGCCTCTCCTTATTGGCTAGAATTGTGTCATATGCCCATTCCTAAACTTAATTATAAGCAGGAGAGTGTAATTTTCATGATTGGCTTAGAATAATTAGAACTTACCCAGAAAGGGAGAGGAAGTTCACTTTCTCCTCAGTTCCACACTCACGAGGCTCCTGAACAAAACTGATGTTTTCTTGTCAAGAGGAGCGACACCAGTTGGGTAGGTAATTAACTGTATGTGCCCTACCACATGTGCAGCAAGTTTCCATTTCCTTGTTGGCCCCTTAGAAAGAGATCTGAAGTGTTTATGAATTTTTAGTCATTCTGTTGTCTTTATTTTTTATTGCAAATAGGTACCATAATGGTTTCTCTTTGCTTTTCACTCATGAGGTTGCTCTTAATGACCATCCTATTGTGTCTGGATTTGAAGGTTGCCCTGAAATATCATTGGTTCTATGTCAAACTAAAGCATTTATTGAGAAGTGTTCTTCAGGGCCTAAAAATGTTATGCTTTGGAACCACGACATGTGCTTTGGAACCATACTGTAATAAGAAAGCATGATTGTTACTATTGTAGGACACAGTGACTAATACAAGGAAATGACCATGACCAGAAGGAGCACTAATGAACAGTGGAATAAAGCAGTAAGATCAAGTACATGTCAAATGGAGAAGGATCAAAACCCAGGGTGCAAACTGAGCAAGTGAAGGCCAGGCCAGAAGAGCAGTCCTCCTTGCTCATGCAACTACGGGATGTGGGCCAAGAATAGAATAGCCCTGGCTTTGAAATAATCCCTCTTCACATCCAGTATTGGAATGGCCTTTAAAACCTGACATAGATATGAAGGAAACTAACAAAAGTAGAAGCAAAATAGAAAGAGGGGCAACTCAAGGAAATTAAACTGACCAACAGTGTCTAAGAGAAAGGTTAATTGAGTGAGTTCCATTCAGTCAGAAAGATGAGAAGACAGGGTGATTTTATGACATGTAGAAATTTATCAACTGTTTCATCACTCAATGTTGGACAAGGAAATTGAGTTGACAATGTAGTAGGTAATACTAAGATAGCTGCAATTTTATGAATTCAACTCGATGGACAAGAGTTTGAGCAAGCTCCAGGAGTTTGTGATGGCCAGGGAAGCCTGGCGTGCCGCAGTCCATGGGGTCTCAAAGAGTCAGACACGACTGAGCGACTAAACTGAACTGAACTGAATTTTGTGAAGAAGAAAGATGACAAACTTTGCCAGAAGTTGCCGAAGAGAATAAAGTTCCTCCTTCAAGTGTTCTTTTCAGGTGGGATAAGCCATTTTTAATTAGAAACCAGGAAAGGCTAATCTTTCACTTACAGCAAAAACATACACTACCTGGCATCATATTTCTTCCCATTCATTAGTGTCTTTTGCCATACTGTTGATTATAATCATTTTCTTCCTCTTCATCCACTTATTCTAATGATTGTGATCACTACTTTCTGTTCTTAACCTCAACTTAAATAAGGAAGATGCTCTGTTTCCATTCCTACTTTTCTCTTAGTGTCACTATTTGCAGTTTTCCTGAACCACAATCACGATCTGTGTGATTTTCCAAGTGTTTGGTAACCAAACAGGTCCTTTAAAAGTGAACTAACAAGTATAAAATTTTTTTTTAACCAAAGAAATTTGAAAATCCAGTTGCTCAAGGACAACCATTATTCAGAGGCAAGAAATTCTGGCTAGATTTAGAGCTAGTTAACAGATGTAAATTAATTGAAAATATAGCATTTTATTCAACCATATACTTAAGATCTTGAAGGATCAACTCAAGTTCTAAACATTTTTACCATTGTGCAACAGAACAGAATAAGGTGCCTCAATCAAAACCAGGTTAAAAATCCGTTTCATTTCCACTCATGGGCAAGAACTTTAATCCTGCTGATATGTATTTGGTAGGCGACCAAATTTAGCAAGCTTCCCCAGCCCCCGCCCAGTGTGAAAGCTTATGTGTAGAATCCATTTTTCACATTTGAAAGGAGATTCAATAAGTCTGTTTCTTTTGTATGTAATTTTTGAGGGAGTGGAGGAAACTGGAAGTAGATGATCCCTAGAGGGAACCTATACAAGAGATAAACATTTTAGCCCTCAATTGGGCATAAAATTACATTGTACATTCCTTACGTAAATCCCACGGAAATTTATTAAGTTCCTAAGAGAGAATACTCAGCTCCTTTTCAGTAGAGTTCTAAATTCTGGAGAAATGCTCAAGTGCATGTTTATTTGCAGCCAGGTATTTGATTCAGTCTTTGAATGTCTGCTGTTTTCAGATTTGTTCAGTGTTCTCTTTTTGAAATCTATACCTTCAGAATTCTTAAGATGAATGCAATAAACCCTAACCAGTCTTTCAACTCAGTGACATAATTGGTTTCCTTGGGATTTCCATACTTGGCTTTGCCAAAGTCAGCAGGAAAGGGCTTATGTGTACAAACAGTGTTAGAAATAACTCAAGGACCCAACTGCCAGTGCAAAGAAATAATGCCTTGTGTGGTTGTGTGTGAATCGGAGTTGATTCATTCTACAAAAGATGTCTGCCTTTTTCTTGAACACTTCAAACAGATTTAGTTTAACATGTTGAAGCATCATTAATCAGGAGTTCCTCTGAATCTGCTGTGATTCTTCCA